GACAGACGGATGGCAATCCTGTTAAAAGTATTCTTAAACAAAAACCTCGTTAAATCTTTTCCGTGTGGCACTTGTATTGTGATGCAGAGTTAAATTATATAATACTCTTGATTCAAATTAAATTTAATTATAAAATCAGGTGGCAACCCTCCTACATGCAGTTTAGAAATAAAGTTTATTCAAAGCAATTTTGAATTATATTCATACTGAAGTAATATATTTTTACCTATTGGTTTTATAAAATCTAACTTTATAACATGGTGGCAACCCCCTGCAAAATATTTTCAAACCGCCTTTCGTCGGACATCCATATCAGGATATACATTTAAATTTTTCTGCCTTTATTTAAGTCGAACTTGCTTTTTGAAACATTTACGTATAATAAAGAAATAAAGCCTTTTGGAAACCATTTCGATCGATACTCATAGTTAATAATTGATTTAACTTAAAAATAATTTGAATTTATTTTTTTATCAGATGGCAACTCTTTTTGAAAAACTAAGAAGTTATTGCACATCCACAGGCCAAGCCCCTTAATTTTATACCTCATTTTGTAAAATCGCACTAACGGTACAGATCTGATATGACGAAAATCTTTCGCGTATTATGCATTCATATGTACATATATCCGATTACTAAAAGAAAAACAGGTCTACATAAACTGAAATTAACATATGTATGAACGTATTTGTGTATTTACATACATACGCTGCGATTAGGTTAAAAATATTTCGCCATCTGTTACTCAAAAGCCATACATATGTACATACTTTTTGTCGCCTTCTCTCACTTCCAGCGCATGCACGTGTTTGCAAAATTATGACGAAGTGCTTTTGTATGGAAAATCATTTATGCTAATATATTTGAATAAAACCAACATATTCAGAAGATATCAACCAATAATTTCCATATACCAAACGAAAGGAAAAACCTTGAGTTGTTGATTAAAGAAAACAAACAAAATCATTCGAGCAGTTTTCCAGCATTTTGGTAATAAAAAAAGTTTTCTAATTTTTTCGACAATTTTTTGCCTTAAAATGCTCAATATTTGTTGAATTTATATAAAATTTGTACACGGTAATATTTCAAAATTTACGCTTGTTTTACTAGAATTTCAGGTTTGTTAAATTCTTCTAAATTCTGTATAAAGAAAAATATTTTACTTGAAAAACATTACAAATATTTAACCAAAATCCCCATTCACTCACTTTTGATCGCCATTATACATATTTATATGCATGAAAAATCAAGTTTATGTTTACTTATTGACACAACCATTAAGTAAGATACATCATTATAAAAGTTCCGCCGCGAAAATTTCACTCTGGATCCACCACGGATAACTTCTACCGAGTCACCGAGTACAAGACCCCTTTTACAAATTTGTATGCTCAGAACTGAAAATTCAGTAGAAATCAGTACACATTTTTAAAAATCAGGGCATTAGCGTACTGACTGAAGAAATTAACAAAATCAGTACGAGAGTTAAAAGATCAGCACTGTACTGATAAAATCAGTACGTCTGGCAACCGTAGGTGTAAGACTGTGGCTTTTTCATTTGTCATAGAATTCCTGCGTGGAGGTATGGATAATGAACTAACTGTGCTCTGAATGCTAGTCGTTTGTTATTGACATGCATTTTCTGATTTTTACATACATTTCCTAAGCTAAAGGTAGTAGCACAAAGTCAAAGCTTCTTGCATCACCCCTTCGCGGGATTTTTTAAACACGGTATTTTTATAACCTTATATTAAGTTTCATCTGTTCATCAATATCAAATATGTCTATTTTTTGGTTCCGATCGGTTCGTATTTATGAAGGTATCTAAAGACCTCTTATCAACTCAAAATTCTACAAACGGTACTTTTATTTTATTTACCAGCGGACATTCTGGCCGTACATATAAAGTTATCCCTGCGATTTAATTGCTTCAAAATGTATTTAAAACAAGTAAGAAAGTCTAAGTTCGGGCGGAGCCGAACATTAAATACCCGGCGCAAGTATTAAATATATGTTTCACCTTTCCGAAAGCTACCGATACATGGTAAGCCGGGGTGTATCAATTTTGAATAAATTAGCGTCCTTCAATTTCGAAATATTGAAGTTTCAAGCATTTCTGAAATTTACCGTTATATGAGAAGCGGCCGTTATTTTAGTCCGAATCAGGATGAAAAAAGAAATCTGTCTGTCTGTCCGTCCGTCTGTCCGTCTGTCCGTGTACACGATAACTCGAGCAAAAATTGAGATATCTCAACGAAATTTGGTATGTAGGTTTCCCTTAATCCAAGGTAGGTTGGTATTGAAAATGGGCGAAATCGGACTGTAACCACGCCCACTTCCCATATAACGGTAATTTCCAGAAATACGAAAACTGCGATATTTTAGTAACTACTGAAGATAATTCACTCAAAATTGATATTTACAATAACTTTTAGAC